CAGCAAGGAAGAGCAAGGTCTGCAGAGCCCCAGTGCTGCGCCCTGGAGAGTCATGCATCACAGCCCCACCGAGGACCCCCCTGCGAGTGGCAGCGAGGGGCATCTGCCCAGGACGGAGCCCCTGGCCCACACCCCGCGTCCCCGCGGCCTGAGGCTGGAACACAGAGGGACTGGAAGAAGAGCAGGCTTGGCTGGGGGGGAGGGACCTGAAGGAAAACAACAGGAGGCCAGAGACAAGGAGGCCGAAGGGAGGGGCCGCGGTGCGCCTGTGGGAGTGGCACAGAGCGTGGGCACCACGCCCACCACAAAAGAGACGCCAACACCCAGGCTGGCAGAGCAGCTCAGGGCCGAACCGGCGGGTCTGTCATCAGCCACCTTGGGGCAGGCATGGCAGGTGTGTGCAGAGTGTCAACAGCGGAAGGAAGGTTGGAGGTCTCAGGGCCACCTGGGCTTCCACTCCCCAAAGCCACTCTTCCAACCACTGCTGCTCAGTGTCCCACCCACTCGCGACAGCGACCAACTCAGGGCCCTATACACCACCAGGCCAGAGATGGTCAACCAGATGCCCGGGGCACAGAGGGTCCGCCAGAGCCCTTCTCCTGGGAAGGGTGGCTTCGACTCACCTGAAACAGACATTCCCTCCCAATGAGTCAGCCCTTCCTGCCTCATGCCCTGTTCCTAGGGGCAGCCGGGACCAGGACTGACAGACACAAAGGTCCAGGCCCCTAAATTCAGACAGTTCTGAAGGGCCGTCCCTCTGTTGGGAATCGTATCACAGCTCACATTCTCCGTCTACCCAGACCTGATCTTTCTACTTCCAGGAGTGTTGCTCCCAGGAGCAATTCTCGACAGCCTCCCTGCAGGAAAAGCTTCCTCTCACAGCCGGCGTCCAGGAGAACGACTTGCAAAGGGAGCCAGGTTAGACCCAGAAAGACCAGCCGAGGCCAGTGTGTGCGGGCACCTCTCCACACACCCCGTTGTTGGTCCAGACCAGATGGCTAGGCACGGTCTAGCATTAGATTCTCAAAGACAAAGCAGTTGATTCTGATCTCTGAGTTTCCATCAAGGGATCCAGGCAGCGGCTCACAGCCCTGAAGGTGCATCCGGGATCTGGGCCTCTGGATTTGACGATCAGGATTCCAAGACAGAACAAAGAGCCGTTGAACTGGCAAATACACCTAACAACAGCAAGGGCCCCATTTGCCACTACTGGCTGTGACGTCACTTGCATTAAGTAAATAAAAATCATAAAATATGCCATAAATACAAAATTTAAAAACCAGAACGGAAAAATGACAAAACGATATCAACTATGACCACCTTAATTGTTAGCAATGAAATTACAACTGGCTGGGCACAGTGGCTCATGCTTGTAATCCCAGAACTTTGGGAGGCCAAGTCGGGCAGATCAACTGAGGTCAGGAGTTCGAAACCAGTCTGGCTAACATGGTGAAACCCCATCTTTACTAAAAATATGTAACTTAGCCGAGTGAGGTGGCGGATGCCTGTAATCCCAGCTACTGGGGAGGCTGAGGCAGGAGAATAACTTCAACCCAAGAGGTGGAGGTTGCAGTGAGCTGAGATCATGCCACTGCACTCTAGCCTTGGCAACAGAGCAAGTCTCTGTCTCAAAAAAAAAAAAGGAAAAAAAAAAAACAAAACAGAGCAGCTTGGCTTGAACATGACAGTAAGGATGAGAACACTGGTCTTCTGACTTGGAAAATGGGTTGTATCTGGAGGAGAGCTTATTATTAAACTGGATTAAACTATACTAAAATAATGTCTCTGCAGTCAGCTAGGTGCTCCCTGTCAACGCCCTTCAGTGTGCCAATCCATATGTAACACAAAGCGAGGTGCTATTCTTAATGCCCACAAAGCATGAGAACAGGCAGTCACACAAATCCTGAAATGACTTAAATATGGCTAATATGACTCCCTAGGAAAACTGCCATCTCTGCTAAGTCAAGGAGAAATAGAAATTTAGTTTCCGTGTCCCCCATTCCATTCCACTTTCTCTCCTCTTTCTTTTTTTTTTTTTTTTTTTTTTAGATGGAGTTTCGCTCTTGTTACCCAGGCTGGAGTGCAATGGCGCGAACTCGGCAATTCTCCCGCCTCAGCCTCCCGAGCAGCTGGGATTACAGGCACGCGCCACCATGCCCATCTAATTTTTTGTATTTTTAGTAGCGACAGGGTTTCACCATGTTGACCAGGACGGTCTCGATCTCTTGACCTCGTGATCCACCCGCCTCAGCCTCCCAAAGTGCTGGGATTACAGGCTTGAGCCACCACGCCCGGCCTTTTTTTTTTTTTTTTTTTAAGACAGACTCTTGCTCTGTCACCCAGGTGAAGTGCAACGGCATGGTCTCGGCTCACTGCAACCTCTGCCTCCCAGGTTCAAGCGATTCTCCCACATCAGTCTCCCAAGTAACTGGGATTACAGGCACTCGTCATCATGCCCAGCCAATTTTTGTAGAGACAGGGTTTTACCATGTGACCAGGCTGGTTTTGAACTCCTGACGTCAGGTGATCTGCCCACCTAGGCCTCCCGAAGTGCTGGGATTACAGGCATGAGCCACTGCGCCCAGCCTCTTTCCTCTTTACTCAGAGGTCTCTTTTCCTGCCACAAAAGACAGAAATTGCCAACTAAAAGCAAGCCTTTAAAATCATATAAGGCTATTTGTAGGGCCTGACACAAAAAGATAATTCTAATATCTGTCTTCCTAGAACTTTAACTTTTAGAGATGCCATATTTATAAACTTCATATTAATTCTAATTATTCAATTTATCAAGTGAATGTAGCAAGATATCTAAGCAATCATATATTGCAAATTTTCATAATTTTATCACACTTTATTAAATGATCTTTAATATAGTAAAATAAGATAAACCCTGAGATATAAAGACCATAGCCAAATCCCTTTTGAGACATAACCAAATAAGGCACCAAAAGTGATAAACTAATAATTTTGGGCCCTAGAGAAAATAATGGGTTCTAATTCAATACTGGAAATACTAGAAATTCAATCAGAAAGCAGATAACAGCCCTCCTGGTGTTTGGTTTTCTCAACCAATATTCTGATGTTGAACAACAGTTTCATGTCCCTCAGTAACTCTGGCACATTCCCTGTTTGCTTATCTAAGATCGGTCTCTGTTAACAATCGGTTTTGCTGTTTTTAAAACTGCCAGCTGCCAGGGTCCAGCACGGTGGCTCATGCCTATAATCCCAGCACTTTGGGAGGCCAAGGCAGGCAGATCACTTGAGGTTAGGAGTCTGGGACCAGCCTGACCAACTTGGTGAAACCCTGTCTCTACTAAAAATACAAAAATTAGCCAGGTGTAGTGGCAGGCACCTGTAATCCCAACTACTCAGGACACTGAGGCAGGAGAATCACTTGAACCTGGGAGGCAGAGGTTGCAGTGAGCTGAGATCACGCCACTATACTCCAGCCTGGGCAACAGAGCAAGCCTCCATCTCAATCTCAATCTCAATCAGTCAATCAATAAAAATAAAACTGCCAGGATCATTCGAGGAAACTCTATCCATAGTTTCTCTGAACATGGTTGCCACATAGTGAAATGGCACATAGCATTTCATGAAAGGAAGCGCGAGTGTTCTCCCCTCACAGGTTTCTGAACCCTCATCCTTGCTGGCTCCACAGCCAGGCTGGCTCCACCTTGCCATGTGTCTTCCTCCAGCAGACTCAGAACTAGAAGGGAAGGGAGTCGAACTCAAGGTAACCCACTTTTTTAAGAGCAATGGAGAAAGAGAAAGGGCTTCAGAACTATTTAGGTTTCACTTGTGTGTTCACAGCATGATATAAAAAGTGAATCTTCAGGAGAATCAGAAAGGAAAAGCACCTGCCTGCTCCGAGGACATGGATTTTGTTCCTGACGAGCCTCTCTAGAGACCCGTGTTTTATGCACACGCTCCTCTCACTCAAGCTGGGCTCCCTCCACACACACAGCGCCGAATGCTGTGGTCAGCTCTGATCTCTGTTGTGTCACGTGAAAAGCAATTGTGATAAAACATGTATGCACATTTTTACATCTATAAAGTGCCTGATACTAAACAAGTCTGGTCTTTGCAAAACTTCAGCTTCTATTTAGCAAAATCAAAAGTAAGACAAACAAATGTCCTATTTCTCTTAGGAAGCACCGACTGGCAAAACAGTTCTGGTCAAACACAGGAATTTTTGCTCCCCGAAGGCCAGGATAACACATGTGTCTATAAATAGCAAAGAAGCAGTCCTGGAAAGTAACACATGAAAAGGGGTGGTGTCAAGCTTCTTTCTCTCTGAGTCTCGCATCAGCCCCAATGAATTTCCTCCAAAGTCTGCCTTGCTGCGCCTGCCTATTTTCAACCCAGTCTGGTCACCTCCAGCTATTACACTCACTACCAGGTCAGAAGAAACAGAGATGGGCTTTTTGCAGGTACAGCTAGTGCTCGACTTACGACCACGATTGGTTCTGACAGACTGGTCGTAACACGATTTGGTTATAAGTTGAGTAGGCTATATGTACAGTACTGTGAAATGATGTTATAAAAATCTTTAAGTCATGTTTTATCATAATTTTTTTCATTATTGTTATATATCATAATTTTCTTTGTTCATTTTATGCCATTTGTATCATCTCTACACCATTTTGTTTCTTATTTTTACATTCGTCAGGTTTAAGTAAAACACTGCATTACCAGTACAACTGGTTTAATATTTGCAAAACATACAAAATTACAAAATACAGGTGCATACAAAAATACAAAATACACATGTAAAAAATACCATAGGAAACATTTTCCCAATTGCAAAACATATCAAAATATATAAACATGTACAAAACACAAATTGCTGTACCGAGTCTGGGATAACAGTTGGAATGGTGCACGCGGAGATGGTAGTGCTGCCGGAAGCTGGTCCTCACTGTCTATGCCCAGCTGGGCAACGTTTGCGCTGCCAGACGCGGAGCAGTCGAGGCTAGTGATTGTGGTCGTAAAGTCGAATGGTCGTAAGTTGCATAGGTCGTAAGTCGATCAATACCTGTAATTCTTTATCCATAAGCACTGCCAAGCAACCCCATTACTCACCCATATACTGTTTTTCTCTGAATCGTCAAGGCTGTTAACCACAGCAATAGCGTAGAAAGCACCGTGGTATTCAGATGTTCTTTATCTAGCTTCAGTTTTAGGTCTCCACTACTTCGCAATTCAACTGGATGGCAATCGACAACTTCCTTGGTGAGCTGGTATTTCGGAATTCAGCCAGCTCCACTTTTAGCAGTATTCCACCCCTCTCCTCGCATCCTGCCAACCAGGAAAGTCAGGCCTGGAAAGACCTAGGTGGTAGAACGGATGGCTTCAGCAATCATCCTCCTGCTGCGGGGACACCAGTTTAACAACCATCTACACACGAAAAAAGCCACCTTCATGAGAACCAGAAACCAGGTGGACACTCACAGTACCGGGCTGTAACTTCGTATCAGTGAAATAGGCACCAAAGAGTTAAGGAGAACAGTCCTAACTCGCCAATGCCACCCCTCCCAACCCCTGGCAGTGGCTGCGTGGTGCCCAGAGCATCTCTGTGTGCTGGGGAAAGGGGGGACGCAGCAATCATGAGGCCTGGAATTCAATACTGCCCTGTTATAGCAGAAAAGAAAGCCAGATCAAACTCAGCTGATGCCCACCCAGGAAGGGAGTGTTTAACCAGCCCTGGCCAGGGGGAAACGCCCATCCCCTCCATCTGAACCTGAGTCCCTGCCAGCCTTGCCACCACGAGCTGTGGTGCTCTAGGGCCCTACATAAACTAGAAAGGCACGCTAGGTCACAAGGACAGGAACTTCTAGGAGACTCCTAGTGCTCAACTGGGCTCAGAGCCGGCGAACTGGGAAGCACGTGACATACTGAGACGCCAGCCACGGCAGCTAAGGGACAGCTGGCACCACTCCCCCCTTACCCTCAGGCTGCATGGCTCGGGGCTCCAAACGAGACCCCTTCATGTGCTCGAGGAGACGAGACAGATGAGTGGGGAGGATTTTGCCTTGTATCTTGGATATCGGCTCCGCCTTAGCAGGAAAGGACACTGGGCAGAGTCATGAGGCCCCCTTTCCAGGCCGAGTGCCTAATGATATTTCTAGACACATCCTGGGCCAAAAGCAATCCTGCTGCCTTGAAGGGAAGGAGCTGGTCCTGGCAGGATTCATCACCTGCTAACTGAAGAGCCCTGGATCCCTGAATAACCAGCAGCGACACCAGGTACTGCGTCAGGGCCTTGGCTGAGACTCGGAGAGTCAACACACTCCCAGCTGTGGTGCTATGGGGTGAGACTCCTTCCGCGTGAGAAAAGCAGGGGAAAAAGAAAAAGGGACTTGGTCTTGCACCTTAGGTGCCAGCTAGGCCACAGGGGAGTAAAGCACCCTGTAGGGTCTACTGTTTCCAGGACTTGGCTCATGGACAGCAGTTCTGGACCCGCCTTGGGCCAGCGGGCTGCCTGCTGCCCTGAGGGTGAGTCCCCAGCCAGGCAGCACTCACCACACGCTGAATGAAGAGCACATGGGACTCAAGGGAACATCCACAATAGTCTGGCATTTCTCCCACGGGCTAGTGGAGGTGCGGCCGTGGGGTGAGGCTCTGCTGCCTTGGAAAGGGAACGGAAGAGTGGGAAGCATTGCATCCTGTGGTTTCAGTGCCAGCTCAGCGAAGTACAATAGAACACAAGGTAGACGCCTAAGGCTTTTCACTCTAGTTCCCGGTTCCCAGACGGCACCTCTAGACCTGTTCAGGGCCTGGGAGAAGTCACCACCCTGAAGGGAAGGTCACAGGCCTGGCTGGCTTTGCTATCAGCTAACTGTAAAGTCATGGGCCCTCAGCAAACAAAGGCAGTAACCAGGCAGTGGCTATGGCAGGCCTTGAGCAACACCCGTTGTGTGCCGCCTTCCGGTCTGACCCAGCACAGTCCTAGTGGTGGTGGCCACAGGGGTACTTGTATCACTCATCCCCAGGTCCATGTAGCTCAGAACAAAGAGAGTTTTCATTTGTTTGGGAGAAAGTAAGGAAACAGAACAACAGTTTCTGCCTGGTAATCCGGAGAATTCTTCCAGATCTTGTCCAAGACCATCAAGGCCATACCTCTACAAGTCTACAAGAACCAGAAGCTTGAGATGACCCCTAACGCAGATACATCTTAGATAAAAATACCTAAGTCCTTTTGAATATCTGGAACAGATTCAAACAAGCCTAGACTGAGAAAACGATAATAAATACCTAACTCTTGAATGCCCAGACATAAATGAACATCTACAAGTAGCAAGACCATCTAGGAAAACATAACCTCACCAAATGAACTCAGTAACTCACCAGAGATGAATCCTGGAGAAACAGAGACTTTTAAACAGAGAATTCTGTCTTTCAGACAAAGAATTCAAAATAGCTGTGTTGAGGAAACTCAAATTCAAGATAACACAGAGAAGGAATTCAGAATTTTATCACATAAACTTAACAAAGAGATTGAAATAATTTAAATGAATCAAGCCGGGTGCAGTGGCTCACACCTGTAATCCCACCACTTTGGGAGGCTGAGGCAGGTGGATCATGAGGTCAGGAGTTTGAGACCAGCCTGACCAACATGGTGAAATCCCATCTCTACTAAAAAATACAAAAATTAGCCAGGTGTGGTGGCACACACCTGTAGTCCCAGCTACTCGGGAGGCTGAAGCAGGAGAATCACTTGAACCCAGGAGGCAGAGGTTGCAGTGAATTGAGACTATGCCACTGCACTCCAGCTTGGGTGATAGAGTGAGAGTCCATCTCAAAAAAAAAAAAAAAATCAAGCAGAAATTCTGGAGCTGAAAAATGCAATTGGCATACTAAATGCATCAGTCTTTTAAAAGCAGAACTGATCAAGCAGAAGAATTAGTGAGCTTGAAGACAGGCTATTTGAAAATACACAGAGAAGGCTGGGCACGGTGGCTCACAGCTGCAATCCCAGCACTTTGGGTGGCCAAGGCGGGTGGATCAGCTCAGGTCAGGAGTTCAAGACCAGCCTGGCCAACATGATGAAATCCATCTCTACTAAAGATACAAAAATTAGCTGGGCACGGGATGGGTGCCTGTAATCCCAGCTACTCAGGAGCCTGAGGCAGGAGAATTGCTTGAACCTGGGAGGCAGAGGTAGCAGTGAGCTGAGATTGCACCACTGCACTCCAACCTGGGTGACAGAACAAGACTCCATCTTAAAAAAATAAAAATAAGAAAAGAAAATGAACAGAGGAGACAAAAGAAAAAATAATTTTTTTAAAAATGAAGCACACCTAAAGGATTTAGAAAATAGCCTCAAAAGGGCTAGGCATGGTACCTCACGCCTGTAATCCCAGCACTTTGGGAGGCCAAGGCAGGTGGATCATGAGGTCAAGAGATCAAGACCATCCTGGCCAATATGATAAAATCCCATCTCTATTAAAAATACAAAAATTAGCTGGGTGTGGTGGTGCACACCTGTAGTCCCAGCTACTCAGGAGGCTGAGGCAGGAGAACTGCTTGAACTGGGGAGGCAGAGGTTGCAGCGAGCCAAGATGGTGCCACTGCATTCCAGCCTGGAGAGAGAGCGAGACTCCATATCAAAAAAAAAAAAAAAAAAAAAAAAAAAAAAAAAAAAGATAGATAGACAATAGCCTCAAAAGGGCAAATCTAAGACTTACTGGCTTTAAATAGGAGGTAGAGAAAAAAATAGAGGTAGAAAGTTTATTTAAAGGAATATAAACAGAACTTCCCAAACCTAGAGAAAGATATAAAGACCCAAGTACAAGAAAGTTAAAGAACACAAAGCAGATTTAACTGAAAGAATACTACCTCCAGACATTTAATAATCAAACTCCCAAAGGTCAAGGATAAAGAAAGAATCCTAAAAGCAGCAAAAGGAAAAAACCGAATAATATACAATGGAGCTCCAATACGTCTGGCAGCAGGCTTTTCAGTGAAAACCTTACAGGCCAAGAAAGAGTAGCACACCATGAAGTGCTGAAGGAAAAAGTCCTTTACCATAGAATATTATATCTGCTGAAAAAATGCTTCAAACATGAAGGAATAATAAAAGACTTTCCCAGACAGACAAAAGCTGAGGGATTTCATCAATGCCGGACCTGTCGTGCATGAAATGCTAAAGGGAGGATTTTGATCAGAAAACATAAAGGTCATTATGAACAATAAGAAATCATCTGAATGTTCAAAACTCGCTGGTAATAAGTACTCAGAAAAACACGGAATATTATAACACTGTAGCTGTAGTGTTTAAACTGCTCTTAAATAGAATGACTAAATAATGAACCAATCAAAAATAATAACCACAAGAAGAAAAATTATAACTACAACAACTTTTGAGACATAGCACAATAAAATATAAATAGAAACAACAAAAAGTTTAAAAGTGAGGAGATAAAGTTAAGGCATAGAGTCTTTATTAGTTTTCTTTTTGCTTATTTGTTTATGCAAACAGTGTTAAGTTGTTATCAGTTTAAAATAAATTATAAGATAGTATTTGTAAGCTTCCTAGTAACCTCCAATTTAAAAAAATACAACAGATACCCAAAAAATAAAAAGCAAGAAACTAAATCGTATCAGCTGAGAAAATCACCTTCACTAAAAGGAAGACAGAAAAGAAAGGAAGAGAAGACCACAAAACAACCAGAGAGCAAATAGCAAAATGGCAGGTGTCAGCTCTTACATATCAGTAATATTGAAAGCAAAATGATTAAACTGTCCAATCAAAAGATACAGAGTGCATTAACAGGTTTTAAAAAATGATCTGTTGCCTACAAGAAACATGCACTTTACCTATAAAGACACATATAGACTGAAAGGACGGAAAAAGATAAAATTCCATACCAATGGAAACCAGAAAAGAGCAGGAGTAGCTGTATTTATATCAGAAAAAAAAATAGATTTCAAGGCAACTATAAGAGACAAAGAAGTCACTATATGATAAAGGGATCAACAAGAGGATATAACGATTTTAAATATATATGTAACACTAGAGCACCCAGATATATAAAGCAAGTATTATTAGAGCTAAAGAAAATCATAGGCCCCAACACAATAATACCTGGAGACTTTAACACCCCACTTTTAGCACTAGACAGATCTTTCAGACAGAAAATCAACAAAGAAACATTGGACTTAATCTGCACTGTAGACCAAATGGACCTAATCGATATTTACAGAACATTTCATCCAATGGCTGCAGAATACACATTCTTTTTTATTTTTATTTATTTATTTATTGAGATAGAGTCTAACTCTGTTTTCCAGGCTGGAGTGCAGTGACATGATCTCGGCTCACTGCAACTCCACCTCCCAGGTTCAAGCAATCGTGCCTCAGCCTCCCAAGTAACTGGAATCACAGGAGTGCACCACCATGCCTGGCTAACTTTTGTAATTTTAGTAGAGACTGGGTTTCACCATGTTGCCCAGGCTGGTCTCGAACTCCTGACTCAGGTGATCCAGCCGCCTCAGCCTCCCAAGGTGCTGGGATTACAGGTGTGAGCCAGTGCTCCTGGGCCAGAATGCACATTATTTCCTTAGCACCTACATTATTCTCAAAAATAGACCACATGTTAGGTCACAAAACAAGTCTAAAAACATTCAAAAAAATGAAATAATATCAATCATCTTCTCTGAAAATGGAATAAAATTAGGAACTAATGACAAGAAGAACTTTGGAAACTATACAAATACAAGGAAATTAAACAATACGCTCCTGAATGATCAGTAAGTCCAGGAGCGAGATCCCTCCAAAATCAAGTGGGGCGATGCTGGTGCTGAGTACGTGGTGGAGTCCACTGGCGTCTTCACCACCATGGAGAAGGCTGGGGCGCACTTGCAGGGGGGAGCCAAGAGGGTCACCATATCTGCCCCCTCTGCTGATGCCCCCATGTTCGTGATGGGCGGGAACCATGAGGAGTATGACAGCAGCCTCAAGATCGTCAGCAATGCCTCCTGCACCACCAACTGCTTAGCACCCCTGGCCAAGGTCATCCCTGACAACTCTGGTATCGTGGAAGGACTCATGACCACCGTCCACGCCATCACTGCCACCCAGAAGACCGTGGATGGCCCCTCCGGGAAACTGTGGTGTGATGGCCGTGGGGCTCTCCAGAACATCATTCCTGCCTCTACTGGCGCTGCCAAGGCCGTGTGTCAGTGGTGCCAATGTGTCAGTGGTGCCAATGTGTCGTCAGTGGTGGACCTGACCTGCCACCTAGAAAAACCTGCCAAATATGATGACATCAAGAAGGTGATGAAGCAGGCGTCAGAGGGCACCCTCAAGGGCATCCTGGGCTACACTGAGCACCAGGTGGTGTCTGTCCTCTGACTTCAACAGTGACACCCATTCTTCCACCTTCAATGCTGGGGCTGGCATCGCCCTGAACGACCACTTCGTCAAGCACGTTTCCTGGTATGACAATGAACTTGGCTACAGCAACAGGGTGGTGGACCTCACGTCCCACACGGCCTCCAAGGAGTAAGACCCCTGGACCAGCAGCCCCAGCGAGAGCACGAGAGAAAGAGAGGCCCTCACTGCTGGGGAGTCCCTGCCACACTGAGTCCCCCACCACACTGAATTGCCCCTCCTCACAGTTTCCATGCAGACCCCTTGAAGAGGGAGGGGCCTAGGGAGCCCCACCTTGTCGTGTACCATCAATAAAGTTCCCTGTGCTCAGCCAAAGAAAAAAAGTTGGCTTTTTAGGGAAGTTAAACAAAACTGACAAATCTTTAGCCGGACTAAGAAAAAAAGATCCAAACAAATAAAATCACAGATGGAAAAGGATACATTAGCGCTGATACCACGAAATTCAAAGGATCATTAGGAGCTACTATAAGCAACTATATACCAACAAATTGGAAAATCTAGAAGAAATGGACACATTCCTAGACACATACAACCTAGCAAAACTGAACCATGAAGAAAATCACAATCTGAACGGATCAGTAACAAGTAATAAAAAGCCTTCCCCTAAGAAAAGCCTGTTACTTTGGGAGGCCGAGGCAGGTGGATCACCTGAAGTCAAGAGTTCAAGACCAGCCTGGTCAACATGGTAAAATCCCATCTCTACTAAAGATACAATAATTAGGTGGGAGTGGTGGCGCATGCCTGTAGTCCCAGCTTCTTCCAAGGCTGAGGCAAGAGAATCACTTGAACCTGAAAGGTAGGAGCATCGCTTGAACCTGCAGTGAGCTGAGATTGCACCACTGCACCCCAGTCTAGGCAACAGAGTGAGACTCCATCTCAAAAAAAAAAGAAGAAGAAGAAGAAAAAGAAAAGCCTGGGACCCAATGGCTTCACTGCTGAATTCTTCCAAATATTTAAAGAACTAATACCAATCCTACTCAAACTATCCCAAAAAACAGAGTAGTAAGGAATATCTCCAAACTCATTCTACAAGGCCAGTATTATCCTGATACCAAAAGCAGAAAAAAAACACATTAAAAAGAAAAGAAAAGAAAACTATAGGCCAATATCTCGTGATGAATATTGATGCAAAAATCCCCAACAAGATACAAGCAAATTGAATTCAATGATACATTAAAAAGATCATTCATCAAATGTGGCACATATACACCATGGAATACTATGCAGCCATAAAAACGATGAGTTCGTGTCCTTTGTAGGGACATGGATGAACCTGCAAACCATCATTCTCAGCAAACTGACACAAGAGCAGAAAATCAAACACCGCATGTTCTCACTCATAGGCAGGTGTTGAACAATGAGAACACATGGACGCAGGGAGGGGAGCATCACACACTGAGATCTGTTGGGGGGAAATAGGGGAGGGACAGTGGGGGGTGGGGAGTTGGGGAGAGATAGCATGGGGAGAAATGCCAGATATAGGTGAAGGGGAGGAAGGCAGCAAATCACACTGCCATGTGTGTACCTATGCAACAATCTTGCACGTTCTTCACATGTACCCCAAAACCTAAAATGCAATTAAAAAAAAAAAAGATCATTCATCATGACCAATGGGATTTATCTCTGGGATGCAAGGATGATTCAACATATATGAATCAATCAATATGATACATCACATCAACAGAATGAAAAATGAAAACCATATGATCATTTCAATTGATGATGAAAAAGCATTTGATAAAATTCAACATCTCATCATGATAAAAACTCTCAAAAGTGAGGTATAAGAGGAACACACCTTAACACATTCAAAGCTATGTAAAACAGACCCCCAGCTAGTATCGTATTGCTTGAGGAAAAACTAAAAGCCTTTCCTCTAATATCTGGAACATGACAAGGATGTCACTTTTACCGTGGTTATTCAAGATAGTAATGGAAGTCCTAGCTAGAATCAGAAAAGACAAAGAAATAAAGGGCATCCAAACCAGAAAGGAAAACGTCAAATGATGTTTGTTTGCAGATGGTATGATCTTATATTTGGAAAAACCTAAAGACTCCACAAAAAAACTATTATAACTGATCAACAAATTCAGTAAATTTGCAGGATACAAAATCAGTATACAAAATCAGTAGCATTTCTATATGCAAACAGTGAACAATCTAAAAAAGAAATTTTGGGCAGGCACGGTGGCTTATGCCTGTAATCCCAGCACTTTGGGAGGCCGAGGCGGGTGGATCACAAGGTCAAGAGATTGAGACCATGTTGAAACCCCGTCTCTACTAAAAAAATACAAAAATTAGCTGGGCATGGTGGCACGCACCTGTAGTCCCAGCTATTCGGGAGACTGAGGCAGGAGATTAGCTTGAACCCAGGAAGAGGAGTTTGCAGTGAGCCGAGATCGTGCCACTGCCCTCCAGCCTGGCGCCTGGTGACACAGCGAGACTCTGTCTCAAAAAAAAAAAAAAAAAGAAATTTAAAAAGTAATCAATTTACAATAGTCACAAATAAAATTAAATACCTAGGAATTAACCAATGAAAGATTGCTATAATGAAAACTATAAAATACTGATGAAAGAAATTTAAAAAACAGAAAAATTCATGTTCATGAATTGGAAGAATCAATATTGTTAAAATATCCATACTACCCAAAGCAGTCCACAGATTCAATGCAATCCCTATTAAAATACCAATGACATTCTTCACAGAAATAGGAAAAAAAATCCTTCACTTTATATAGAACCACAAAAAACTCAGAATAGTCAAGGCTATTCTAAGCAAAAAGTACAAAACTGGAGGAATCACATTACCTGACTTCAAATTATACTATAGAGCTGTAGTAACCAAAACAACATGGTACTGGCATAAAAACATTCACATAGGCCAATAGAACCAAACACAAAACCCACAAATTCACACACCTCCAGTGACTGAACTCATTTTCAACAAAGGAGCCAATAACATACACTGAGGAAAAGACAACTTCTTCAATAAATGGTGCTGGGAAAACCAGATATCCATATGCAGAAAAAAGAAAGTGGATCTCTATCTCACCACATAAAAAAAAACAAATCAAAATGGATTCAGGACTTAAATCTAAAAAGTCAAACTATGAAACTGCTGCAAGAAGACATCAGAGAAACTCTCCAGACATCGCTGATCATCAGAGAACAGAGAAATGCAAATCAAAACTACGAGATATCATCTCACCCTATTTAAAATGGCTTTTTATCTGAAAGCAGTAAGAAATGCTGGTGAGGATGTAGAGAAAAAGGAACTTTCATACACTGTTGGGAATGTAAATTAGTAAAACCACTATGGAGAACAGTTTGGAGTTCCCTCAAAAAGCTAAAGAGAAAAGCTACCATATGATCCAGCAATCCTCCTGCTGGGTATATACCCAAAAGAAAGAAAATAAATATATCAAAGAGATCTCTGCACTCACACGTTTGTGGCAGCACTATTCACAATAGCCAAGATTTGGAAGCATCCAGTGTCCATCAACAGATGAATGGATAAAGAAAACGTGGTACATGGACACAATGGAGTACTATTCAGCCATAAAAAGATAACGAGATCCTGTCATTTGCAACAAGATGGATGGAACTGGAGGTCAATAGGCTATTGAAATAAACCGAGCACAGAAAGACAAATGTCACATGTTCTCACTAATCTGTGGGATCTAAAAATCAAAACAATTTGTTGAGGCAGGAGTTCAAGACCAGCCTGGTCAACATGGTGAAACCCCATCTCTACTAAAAATACAAAAATTAGCCAGCCATGGTGATGCGTGCCTGTAATCCCAGCTACTCAGGAGGCGGAAGCAGGAGAATCACTTGAAGCCGGGAGGTGGAGGTTGCAGTGAGCCGAGATCACACCACTGTACTCCAGCCTGGGGGACAGAGTAAGACTCCATCTCAGAAAATAATAATAATAATAATCACATACTATTTGAAAATAATGACAGTACATATTCAAGACAGTAGGAAATAGTTTAAAGTCATACTCAAAGGAAAAGTTGTAACATTGATTTCAAAAAACAAGAGGGAAAATAAATTAATTCATCTTCCCTTACAAGAAAGTGGTAATAACAATGGTAGCTAACATGTATTGAGGGTTCGTATGTTCTAAGTGTTTCGCGTGTATTACTTCATTTAATTCTCATGCCGCACTACAACACAGGCATGATTATATTGCATTTGTCTGATGAGGGCGCTGAGGCTCAGTGTCTACTAAACACGCTGTTACAACAAACTGAGAGGAAGCTTCCAGAGCCCATGCTGCTACCACCGAACTCTCTGTGACTCAGATAAAAACAGCAAAACAAAGCCAGAGCAAGCAGAAAGCAGATAATAGGGGGGCAAAAAAGAGAAGTGAATGAAATGGAGAATATAATTTTCAAGAAATATATAAAGAACCAAAATATATTTGACAAGTAGTATAAATACTAAATAAAACAGTAACCTCAGAAGTGTAAGGTTAATCCCCAAATAAGTGATATATTCCGAATGCTCTAAAGGAGAATTATCCCAAAGCTTTAATGCACCTATTATTATTATAAACTATTCCACAGAGCAGAACACGTTGGGAAACTTCTAAATTCATATTACTACCATAAATCCTAGTATAACCCTGATAACCAAATCATACTATAGCAGAACAACTAAGAAAAACTCAAAAATGCCAAAAAAAAATCAATAGGCAAATGTCCCTATGAATAAAACTGCAAATATTTATAAAAAGTAGCATACGGGCCAGGCGCGGTGGCTCAAGCCTGTAATCTCAGCACTTTGGGAGGCTGAGGTGGGTGGATCACAAGGTCAAGAGATCGAGACCACCCTGGTCAACATGGTGAAACCCCGTCTCTACTAAAAATACAAAAAATTAGCTGGGCATGGTGGTGCATGCCTGTAATCCCAGCTACTCAGGAGGCTAAGGCAGGAGAATTGCTTGAACCCAGGAGGCGGAGGTTGCAGTGAGCCGAGATCGCGCCATTGCACTCCAGCCTGGGTAACAAGAGTGAAACTCCGTCTCAAAAAAAAAAAAAAAAAAAAAAGTAGCATACAAAATCCATCAATATATTAAAATTACTACAGTATAACAGTAATGCATAGAAAATTTGTCATTACTACATTTAGCAATATAACTCATCTTATTAACAAATATTACTTTCTAGGATGGGAACAGTGGCTCATGCCTGTAATCTCAGCATATTAGGAGGCTGAAGTGGGCCGATTACCTGAGGTCAGAAGTTCAAGACCAACTTAGCCAACATGGTGAAACCTCGTCTCTACTAAAAATACAAAAATTAGCTGGGTGTGGTGACGGGCACCTGTAATCCCAGCTACGTGGGAGGCTGAGCCAGGAGAATCACTTGAACCTGAGAGGCAGAGGTTGCAGTAAGCCAGGATCACACCACTACACTCCAGCCTGGGCAAAGTGAGACTCCACCTCAAAGACAAAAACAAAAAATTACTTTCTAAAACAAATTACCATAAAAGTTAAAAATCTATCAACAGGTTGGAAGTAACTTGGTTGTTAATGCATATAACAGAAGAAAAAGATTAAACCTTGAAAAATATATAAAAAGAGCTCATAAATGAAATGAATATCTAAACAGAAAAAAAACAAAGAGTAAACAGCAAGGGAAATACAAAGGAATAAGCTTGTTAGAAGATGGCCAGGCAGGATGTGATGGCTCCCACCTATAATCCCAGAACTTTGGGAGGCCATGGCAGGAGGATGGCTTGAGCCTAGGAGTTTGAGACCAGCCTGGGCAACATAGCAAGGAACCATGTATACAAAAAAAAAAGAGCCAGGGCTGAGGGTGCAAGCCTGTCATCCTAGCGACTGGGGAGGCTGAGGTGGGACTATGACTTGAGGCCAGGAGTTCCAGGCTCAGTGAGCTCTGATCATACCACTGCACTACAGCCTAGATGACAGACTGAGACCCTGCCTCAAAACAAAAGAGAATGGCAAATATTCCCTATCTAGAAACAGTCACAGTAATATAATGCCATAGTTCTTACCTGACAGAAAAAAATGAAAAGGATTAATAATAGCCAGTTCTGTTGTATGCTAGAGGAAATGGATATATTGTGTACTCTGGGTTAGAATATAAATTGGTTCAGCATTTGAAAAGAAAATTTGGCAGCTTTCTCTTAAATTTTTAAGTTTGCCATTTCTATGGAATCATCCTGCAGAAATACACATTTATGAGTATGTATAAAAGCTGTTCATAGCAGAATTATTAAGAGAAAAAGTAAGCCAGGCGCGGTGGCTCACACCTGTAATCCTAGCAGTTTAGGAGGCCATGGCGGGTGGATCACCTGAGGTCAGGAGTTCAAGACCAGTCTAGCCATCATAGTGAAACCCATCTTTAAAAAAAAAAAAGAAAAGAAAGAAAGAAAGAAAAAGTAGATGTTCACCAGTCACAGTTTGTCAACCCAATACACCCATAGCAAGGATAGCAAGGAATGCCGGGAGCAGTGAGAAAGAGTAAGATAATTTATATGTATGAACATGGGGAGATCTCCAAGACAAAGTAAAAAACAACAAAAATACATGCAGAAAAATAAAAATAAAAATAATATAATATAATTAATTAATTAATTAAAAATAAATAAATAAATAATAAAAATTTTTAAATAAAAAGAAAAACAAAAATCCATGCAGAATGTATAGTCAACATGGTACCACTTAAGTAAAAACAAACACACAAACCCCCAAACTCTATTTCTAACCTTAGGTAAATATGTATGTGAATATATAGAAACCAATCTGAAATAACAAAGGTGAAATTGTTAAAATGGTGATTTGGGGAGAGAAATGGAATTAACAAGGGAGAGGAGGTTGATATAGGAATGGGGGCTTGCATCTTAACATTTTTCTGAAAAATAAGCAAATATTATCTTAATATATATATGCATAATTTACATTAGCAAAATGAGAAATAAAGTCCTAGAAATAGGCAGACATTTTAAAAACACTATTGGCAAAATAAAGGTTCAAAGCAAAAAACTGACCGACCAATTTTTGGTTCAAATAATGGTTCTTAACCCATATGCCATAAAATGAAGACTATGAGTTTGATTACATATTAAAATTAAGACATACAGCAAATGACTGGGGAAAATTATCCTCAACACATAGGACAGACAGAAGCTAATTCCTTAAGACGGGATGGTCACAAAACAATGAATGGTGACAAACAAGCAACTGAAAAATGGGTGAGCAGCCAGTCATGGTAATGTGCACCTGTGGTCCCAGCTACTGAAGAGGCCAATGCAGGAGGATTGCTTGAGCCCAGGAACTGGAGGCTTCGGTGAGCTACGACTGTGCCACTGCACTTCAGCCTGGATGACACAGAGACTCCTCCCCCTGGGGCTTCTTCAGAGTCACCTCGTGCATCAATAACATGCCACATGTTCTTACTGCCCCCGTCCGGCAGCTCACCCCCAGCCTGCAGGGTATCTCCTGTTTCCCAGCTACCCCCAAACCACCACAGATTTCTGACAGCCCGTCACACCCAGGAATTACATAGAAACTCACAGACCTCACTGGGATTCTCCCCTGTGACTCCTGCTCCTCCAACCGCAGCCTCAGGGACTCTCCCACGTCTCCCAGTTACTGTCCAAGCATCCCCGATCTCCAACAGTCAGTCCCCCACACGGGAAGCACCTGCAGACGCAGATCTGAGTGCCCTCCTCCACGCTGTCTCTCATCTCTCCTCCTGCAGCCCTTCGGGACGCTCCAGTGTGTCCCAGCTCCTCTCCAGCTGTCCCCAGATTTCTCCTGGGCTTAGCCCGTAACACCCAGGAGACCCCTAGAAACTCACAGACCTCCCTGGAATCCATCCCATGTCTCCCATGTCTTCACCCCCAGCCCACAGGAACTCTCCTGTGTTCCCCCGTTCCTCTCCAGCCACCCCCACATTTCCACTGGATTCAGCCCCCATACCCAAGAATCACCCAGAAACCCACAGACCTCCCCGGGATCCTCCCCAGCCTCTCCCTCGTCTTCACCCTTTGCTCTCAGGGATGCTCCTCTGTCTCCCAACCCCTCCAAGCATCCCCAGATTTCTGCAACAGTCAATCCTACGCATCCAGGAAACACCCAGAAATTCAGAGACCTCACAGGCCTCCTCCCCCATCTCTCTCACCTCTTCACCCCTCTGAGAGACTCTCCCGCGTGTCCCTGCTTCTCTCCAACCATCCCCAGATCTCAAACCCCCCCGCACCCAGGAATCACGTAGAAACTCACAAAGCTCCCTGACATCCCCCCAATCTGCCTCATATCTTCACCCCCATTCCTTAGGGACTCCTGTGTCTTCCGGCTCTGCTCTAACCATCCCCAGTTTTCTGCAAGAGCCAGCCCTAGGCACCCAGAAGACCCCTAGAAACTCACAGACCTCACCAGCTTATTCTCCCACAACCTCCGTCTACACAGCAGCGGCCCCCACATATCCCCCAGTGGCGGCACGCCCATCTCCCTTCATACTGACACACTCACAGGGCCTCGCAGCCACCCTCCGTCATTGTCCTCCAGCTCATCGTCCCAGCCAATCTACTGGCCAGCATGATGGCTTACTTGCCCCTTTCCCCACATTCCTGGTCAGGGCCCCACATCCAGCCACAGAAGAGCCCCTCCTGCCTTCCACGCACGCCATCTTTCTGTACACTGTCACACACTTGCCGTCAGTCTCTTCTGGGGCTCTGCACAGTCGCTGTGGGCTGTGTGGACGGAGGTTGTGGGAGAGCCCCTCTAATGCCAACATCCCCACTCAGGCGATTAACACCCCCCTGCCAGCTGGGCATCGGGACCCTCCTGCCTGCCGACGTGGCTGCCAGCACCCATACCAGCGTGACCCCCAGCCTGCCTGCATCCTGCGGGTGAGCCTCTTCTCTGGCAGTGACACTATTGGTGTGAACCCCCATTTTCAGGTCTCTCATTTGTAAATATGACCATGTTCCCTTTTCTCTATTTCTTCCATTCACAGGACATCTCACTCTCTCTGTTTCTGCCTCCATTCAGTTACTCATTCTTTTTCCCTTTTCACTGTCTGCCCCGGTCTCAATGTGGAGGCCCTAGATGAGATTCATCTGATTAAGGTGATGGATTGAATGGCTTGTAGTATATTCATAATTGTGCACAATTTTAATTCACAATCGATTTTATAACATTTTATCACCACCACCCCCACTTCCCCACCCCTGCCAAGGAAACCCTGTAAACAGTAGTCATTCCTCATGCTGTCTCCAAGCCACACCCCCAGCCACAACCTGGGCCCTAGGTAACAGCCTCAAAGAGAGCTGTACCCTACCTCCATAGATTTGCCTATTCTGGGTATTTCCTATAAACAGAGCAATACAATATGTGAGCCTATACAATTGCCTTTTTTTTTTTTTTTTTCAAGATGGGGTTTCACCATGATGGCCAGGCTGGGTTTGAACTCCTGACCTCAGGTGATCCACCCACCTCGGCCTCCCAAAGTGCTAGGATTACAGGCGTGAGCCACCACGCCTGGCCACAGCTGCCTTTTTTACTTAGCATAATGTTTTCAAGGTTTATCCACATGGTAGCATTGCCTACAGCTTCATTCGTTTTATGGCCAAATAATGCTCAACTGCATGAATAATGCTCCTGGGGATGCTAGCAAGTTGATGGGTATAAGGTAGTTTCTACCTATTTGCTTTTGTGAATAGTGCTGCTCTGCACACTCCTGTACGCTATTTGGTGTGGATATCTTTTCTCTTGGTGCATACCCAGAGAATTCCTGGGTCATATGAAGACTTACATGACGTTTAACATGTTGAGGAGCTTCCAGATTAGTTTCCAGCATGGCTGTAGCATTTGACAGTCCCACCAGCAGTGCAGGAATGTTACAGCCCCCTTGCATCCTCATCTGCGTTTGTCATTATCTAGTTTTTCCATCCCGGCCATTCTGGTGAATGTGAAGTGGCACCATTGCTGTTTTTACTTGCGCATCCCTGAGGACTGAGGACGCAGAGAATCATTTCATGCGTTTTGTGGGAAGTAGAAAAGTTCCTTTTTAAAGTTTCCTTTCTTGTTAAATCATAAGTGTGCTAATAACGCTTTGTTAGGCCTTATCCTACGTAGCTGTTAGACATGCCGTGCTTATAGGCACCTAGTATATTCTATGTCCTTGTACTTTAACCAAGGTATCTGCGCTGGACGTGCTTGCGGGCTTGTCCCAGCTCTCCATTGCTTTTACGTGTTTAGAAAAGTTTTAAGTTATTAGCCAATCAGGTTTTAGTTTAGATTGTGAGGTCCGGCTCCAGCCAAAGGAAATCAGACACAGCAGTAAGGACAACCCCAAATGCATAAGGAATAACTTTGTGTGTATTCCCTTTGTTCTTTGTACTCTCCAGGCATAATGGCTACCTGAAGTTCCTTTCCTGTAGTCCAGGAAGGAAAAATTGCGTTGCTGAAAAATCCTTAGTCTCAGTGCTAATTTTTCTTGCAGCACCCGGCATCTATTTCCAACATGTTTCTTGTCTATTTGTGTGTCTTCTTTGGAGAAATATCTACTGAAATCCTTTGCCTATTTAAAAATTGGATTATTTTTCTTCTTTTTATTGACTAAAAAGAATTCTTTTTGTAATCCAAATACAAGTTCCCTATCAGGTATATGATTGCAAATATTCTCTCCCATTTTGTGGTTGTCTTTTCACTTTTGAAACACAAAATGTTTTACTTTTTATAAAGTACAATTATTGTATTTTCTTTTGCCACTTCGTGGTTTTGATGCCACTTCTTAAAAGCCTTCATCTCACCTGCAGTGATATTTTCTTCTGAGATTTTATCTGTTATTGATTTGTTTTGTTATTTTTTACTTTTTAAGATTTTATCTTTTTATTTATTTATTTTATTTTATTGTGAGACAGAGTTTCACTCTGTTGCCCAGGCTGGAGTTGCAATGGCATGATCTCAGCTTGCTGCAACCTCTGCCTCCCGGTTTAAGCAATTCTCCTGCCACAGCGTTCTGAATACATGAGGTTACAGGCAAGTGCCACCATGCCCAGCTAATGTTTATATTTTTAAAAATAGCCAGGCGCAGTGGCTTATGCCAGGCGCAGTGGCTCAAGCCTATAATCCCAGCACTTTGGGAGGCCGAGGCGGGTGGATCACGAGGTCAAGAGATCGAGACCATCCTAGTCAACATGGTGAAACCCCGTCTCTACTAAAAATACAAAAAAATTAGCTGGGCATGGTGGCACGTGCCTGTAATCCCAGCTACTCAGGAGGCTGAGGCAGGAAAATTGCCTGAACCCAGGAGGCGGAGGTTGCGGTAAGCCGAGATTGCGCCATTGCACTCCAGCCTGGGCAACAAGAGCAAAACTCCGTCTCAAAAAAAAAAAAAAAAAATAGAGACAGAGTTTTGCCATGTCGGCCAGGCTGGTCTGGAACTCCTGACCTCAGGTAATCTGCCTGATTCAGCCTCCCAAAGTGCTGGGATTACAGATATGAGCCACTACACCGGCCAGATTTCATCTTTTTAGCTCTTAAATTTAGATCCATAGTCACCTTGGAGTTAATGTTTGTGTGTGGAATGAGGAAGGTATCCAACATTATTCTTTTGAATGAGGGTATCCCATTGTGCCAGCACTCTTTGTTAAAAAGGGGATTCCTGGCTGGCCATGGTGGCTCATGCCTGTAATCTCAGTACTTTGGGAGGCCAAGGTGTGCAGATAATCTGAGGTCAGGAATTCTAGACCAGCCTGGCCAACATGGCATAATGAAACCCCATCTCTAGTAAAAATACAAAAATTAGTCAGTCGTGGTGGTGCACACCTGTAGTCCCAGCTACTCGGGAGGCTGAGGCAGGAGAATCACTTGAATCCGGGAGGCAGAGGTTGCAGTGAGCCAAGAGCACATCACTGTACTCCATTGTGGGTGACAGAGTGAGACTCTGTCTCAAAAAAAAAAAGAAAAAAACGGCCGGGCGCGGTGGCTCAAGCCTGTAATCCCAGCACTTTGGGAGGCCGAGACGGGTGGATCACGAGGTCAAGAGATCGAGACCATCCCGGTCAACATGGTGAAACCCCGTCTCTACCAAAGATACAAAAAATTAGCTGGGCATGGTGGCGCGTGCCTGTAATCCCAGCTACTCAGGAGGCTGAGGCAGGAGAATTGCCTGAACCCAGGAGGCGGAGGTTGCGGTGAGCCGAGATCGCGCCATTGCACTCCAGCCTGGGTAACGAGAGCCAAACTCCGTCTCAAAAAAAAAAAAAAAAAAAAAAAAAAAAAAGAAAAAAGATTCTGACCCCTATTGAATTTTCTCAGCACACTCTGAAAATCAATTGGCTGTAAATGTTATTCCCTTCATCTATATCTCTATGTCAGAATCCCAGGAAAATATAGCCATGATTATTGCATTTTGCAGGATGCTTTAACATAGGGAAGAGTCTTCCAATTCTGTTTTTTTCTTTGAAGATTATTTTAGTTATTCTGGATCATTGGCATTCCCGTATGAATTTTAGGATCAGCTTATCAGTTTCTGCAAACTTGCCAACTAGGCTTTTGATGGGAAGTATGTGGAATTGAAACAGGAATTATCTCAGTTATCTTGCCAGCTGTGACCTCTGGCCAGCGATGTCCCCCCGCCTGGATTCCCAGGCCTCCCTCAGCCCCGGGGCCTGCCACTGGAGGTGCTCCAGCCTGCCTGTGTTATAGCTTATACCTGTGTCTGGTGGTTCCTGAGTTCTTGTCCCATGTCCAAGAAGAATGAGGTTACACTGACAGTTGAAGGGTGAAGATGGGCAGAGAGAGGATGCAGAAGGGTGTAGGGGGGATCCCCTACCTCCACAGTTGTGTGGCTTTTTTGCTCTCAGTGTGGCTGGGCCCTGGGCTTTTTATGAATTCAGAATGGGGAGTGTGTGCTGATTGCTTCGTGAGTATGCAAAAAAGGTTAAAGCAAAGACACCACTCAAAGGTGGACATGACAGTGTAGAAAATCAATTAGGAAAGGGTATGCATACATAAATAGGTAAAGGATGGGGATCAATAAGAGGAGAGAATGCCCAACAGGAAGACAGGTTCTCAATCCTGTCCAAAGATTTAATTTGCAGCTTTGATTTCCGGCTTTAAACTGCCTTCAGCTTGGAGGTGTGGTTTCAGCAGAGACTCGCCCCTATCTGCCTGGGCATTTGGCTGCCTCCTATCACTATCAGAATGTGTAGAACACTTTGGGAATTATTACCACCCCAGCAATATGAAATCTGTCCATCCATGAACATTTTTTGTCTTTCCATTTATTTGTGCCATCTATAATGTCAACAATATTTTGTGGTTTTCAAGATACATGTTTTGTATTTTTTTGGTCAGGTTTATTGCAAGTATTTTATTCTTTTTGATGCTATTGTAAATGGAATTGTTAAGTTTCATTTTCAGACTGTTCAATGCTATTGTGTGGAAATGTAATTGATATTTGTATATTGATCTTGTGTCCTGAAACCTTGCTGGACTCATTCCTTAGTTCTGGTCGTTGTTTTAATGGTTTCCTTAACATATTCTATATGTAGGATAATGTCTGCAGGGAATAGAGATTGTTTTTCTTCTTCCTTTCTAATCCAGATGCATTTTATTGACTAATTTCCCTATCTAGAAACTCTGGTACAATCTTGAATAGAAGTGGCAAAAGTGGACATCTTTGTCTTATTCATGAAGTGAAAAGGAAGGCATTCAGTATTTTGCTATTAAACACTGTGTTTTTTTTTGTAGGTTTGTTTGTTTGTTTGTTTTGAGCTAATCTTCAACAGGTTAAGGAAGCTCCCTTCCATTTACAGTTTGTTTTTGTTTTGTTTTGTTTTGTTTTGAGACTGAGTCTCACTCTGTTGCCCCAGGCTGGAGTGCAGTGGTGTGATCTCGGCTCACTGCAACCTTCCCCTCCCGGGTTGTAGCAAGTCTCCTGCCTCAGCCTCCTAAGTAGCTGGGACTACAGGCACACGCCTCTACACCTGGCTAATTTTTTTGTATTTTAGTAGAGATGGGGTTTCACCATGTTGCCCAGGCTGGTCTAGAATCCCTAAGCTCAGGCAATCCACCCGCCTTGGCCTCCCAAAGTGCTAGGATTACAGGCATGAGCCACCACGCATGGCCC